CATGTCCCTCTAAAGGACATGAACTCAGCCTTTTTTATGGCTGCATGGTATTCCATTATGTATAGGTGCCACATTTTCTTTATCCATTCTATCATTATGGGAATTTGAGTTGGTTCCAAGTGTTTGCTATTGTGCACAGTGCCACAATAAACATATGTGTGCCTGTGTCTTTATAATAAAATGATTTATAATCCTTTGGTATTTTATACCCCAGTAATGAGATTGCTGGGTCAAATGGTATTTCTATTTCTAGATCTTTGAGAAATCGCCTCACTGTCTTCCACAATGGTTGAATTAATTTACACCCCCACCAACATTGTAAAAGCATTTCTATTTCTCCACATCCTCTCCAGCATCTATTGTCTCCTGATTTTTTAATGATTGCCATTCTAACTGGCATGAGGTGGTATCTCAATGTGTTTTTTATTTGCATTTATCTAAGGACCAGTGATGATGAGCTTTTTTTATATGTTTGTTGGCTGCATAAATGTCTTCTTTTGTAAAGTGTCTGTTCATATCCTTTGCCCACTTTTTGATGGGGTTGTTTTTTTCTTGTAAATTTGTTTAAGTTATTGATAGATTCTGGATATTAAGCCTTTGTCAGATGGGAAGATTGCAAACATTTTTTCCCATTCTGTTGGTTGCCAGTTCACTCTAATGGTTGTTTCTTTTGCTGTGCAGAGGCTCTTAAGTTTAATTAGATCCCATTTGTCTATTTTGGCATTTGTTGCCATTGCTTTTGGTGTTTTAGTCATGAAGTCCTTGGCCATGCCTATGTCCTGAATGGTATTGCCTAGGATTTATTCTAGAGTTTTTATGGTGTTAGACCTCATGTTTAAATCTTTAATCCATCTAGAGTTAATGTTCGTATAAGGTGTAAGGAAGGGATCCAGTTTCAGCTTTCTGCATATGGCTAGCCATGAACTAAACAATTTTTTTAAAAAATAGATTAAAAGCACATCCTATGGAGTCTGAATAATGAGGTAACTTGTCTCTACCACTTGTTAGCTGGTATATCAGGTCATGTTGCTTAATCTCTCTACCTTAGATTCTTCATCCCTAAAATGGTGATAATAATATTGTCTCCCTCATAGAGTTTACGGAAGAATTAAAAGAGTTAATAAATTTTAGGTTCTTAAAATAATGCATGTCACAAATAACCCATACATAAATGTTAGTAATTATTTCTTATGACTATGATTATTCTCCCCAGTGTTACAGAAAAGAAAAATCAAGTTTAAAGAGTCTAAAACACTTGCCTACTTTCATATAACTAAATAGGTAACAGAGTGGGAATTTCAAATTGTGCTCTTAACCACTGTACCACAGTACTTTCCTCTGTTCTTCTTTCTCTAATGAAGAGATTACATTACATACAACATAGTATTATTGGCACACATAATTCAACTTGATACATAAATAGCAGATTCTATATACTATAATAATTACAGGATAGCAGGCCTCTCACTCATTATGTCTAGTGGTTTCGGACCGAAACCTGACAAGATCAACTCCTGAGAGAGGGCACAGTGTTGACACCATGCTTATACCTCCTGAGATTCAAATAGATGTCTTTTATTTTTGTGTGCATGTATTGAGTTATTCTGTTTACATGCAGGGAAATGGTAATTTATTTGCCACTCAGTTCCATCTGGATCCCTTTACACTGCAAACATTAAAATCTCGGTGTAAGATTGTGCAAACCCAGTGTGTTGCCCATCCATATGCAAAACCATGCCCCTCTTCATTCTCTTTGCTGCTAACTCAGAAGGGGTTTCAAGTTTCAGGTTCATAAACATGTATGAATAATAACAGGTTCTACAACAGCCATTGTGTTGGATACAGGATGTTCAAAAATACAGTCATGTTTTGCTTAACAATTGAGATGCATTCTGAGAAATGCATCATTAGGTGATTTTGTCATTGTGTGAACGTCATAGGGTGTGCTTACACAAACCTAAATGGTATAGTATACTACAAACCTAGGCTAGGTAGTACAGTCTATTACTCCTAGGCTATAAACCTGCAAAACATGTCACTGTGCTGAATACCATAGCAAGTTGTAACACAATGGTAAGTATTTGTGTATCTGAACATATGTAAACATAGAAAAAATAGAGTAAAAATATGGTATAAAAGAGTAAAATGGTACACCTGTACAGGGCAGTTACCACAAATGGAGCTAATAGAACTGGAAGTTGCTCTCCATGAATCAGTGTGAGTGCCGAGTGAATGTGAATGCCTTGGACATTACTGTACACTTCTTTAGGCTTTGTAAACACTGTACACTTAGGCTACACTGAATTTATAAAAAAAAAAAACATTTTTTCTTCAACAATAAATTAAGCTTGGCTTACTGTAATTTTGTTATTTAGAAACTTCTTAATTTTTAAACTTTTTGACTCTTGAAATAGCACTTCAAACACATTGTACAACTGTACAAAAATATGTTTTTCCTTATATCGTCATTCTATAAGCTTGTTTTCTTATTTATTTTAGAGATGGGGTTCTTCGTCACCCATACTGTAGTGCAATGATAGGATCATAGCTCACTGCAGCCCCAAATTCTTGGGCTCAAGTGATCCTCCTTGATCTCCACTATAGATGTGCACCATCATGCCCGCTAATTTTTGAAATTTGCAATTCAGATGGGGACTCGTTTTGTTTCCAGGCTTGTCTCAAACTCCTGGTCTCAAGTCATCCTCCTACCCCAGCCTCCCAGGCTGAGATTACAGACAAAAACCACACTGCCTGACTAATTTTGTTTTGTTTTGTTTTGTATTTTTTTTTATTGTTCATACATTTTGTTAAAATTAAGACACAGAAGCATATTAGCCTAGGCCTACATGAAGTCAGATCATCAGTATTTCTGTCTTCCAACTACCTGTCTTGTCCCACTGGAAGGTCTTCATGGGCAATAATACGTATGGAGCTGCCATCTCCTACGATGATAGAGATGATAGCAGCTCATACTTCCTGAGGAATCTGCCTGAGATTGGTTCACAGTTAATATTTTTTTTTCTATAAGCAGTAGAAATTTATTTTACTAAAATAATAATAAAATTATAGTATAGTAAATACATAAACCAGTAACATCATTGCTTATTATCCTTATCAAGTATTATGTGCTATACATGATTGTATGTGCTATACTTTTATACAACTGGCAGCGCAGTGGGTTTCTTTACATTAGCATTTCCACAAACATGTCAGTAATTTTCACTGACATGTTTCAGTCACTGCTTCCTTTCACAACCATGAGGCAATAAGAGTCACATCACTAGGCAAAAGGAATTTATCAGCTCCATTGTAATCTTATGGAACCACTGTCATATATGCAGTCTATTGTTGACCAAAATGTTGTTAGGTGCTGCATGACTGTATATAAGTCACAGAGGACTGCACTTGAAAAGATTAATATTTGGTGGGAGAGTGAGCAAATAATTGCAACTATATATTTCACATGTTAATATAGAGATATGCTTCAACTGCTCGAAGGAGTGGATACATGAATATGTTTAAACTTCATCATCATCATTTTCAACACATAATCTTCACTAATGTAGCACTTTGAATTGAGTCTCTACCAGTACACTGAAACAGTGATAAATATTATAAATTCTGACTTCATAGTGTTTTCCAGGGTAGGAAACAAAACTACTTTTTGCACTGTGAAGTACACACATATACACATATATATCTCTGTGTAAAAGAGATATGTGTACGTGTGTGTGTGTGCATGTGTGTGTGTGTGTGTGTGTGTGTGTGCATTACCTGTGAGAAATAGGAAAAACAGAGTTCTGCAAGACAGAAAGGCAAGAGGGCATGATTACATATCAGAGATTGTCAAGGAAGGGCCTTCTGAGGAACTAATATTTAAGCTGACACCAGAAGTATAAATAAGTCTTAGCCAGCTGAAAAGGCAGGTAGTGAGAGAATAAGAGAAATAAACTACTCAGCTCAATAATTAAATTGCATATTTCTATAGAAGTCCAGTCCTACTGGGTATTAGGATGTCAGCTTTTTTCATGCAGTGATCTCCTGACACCCTTCACCACTTTTAATCAGTGTGACAGGAAACCTTGGGCTTTCGGGTTAAGGGTGTACCTTACCCTAATCAAGAGCCAAAGTCATTTTTTTCAAAGAATAGAAGATGGCCCATATGAATCTCTGCTCCTTTCTTGTGTGGGATTCTGTTGCATCTGCTCCACCCTCACCTCCCAGCATTCTCACCCTCAACTCACAGACACCCCGAGTCCTCTCACAGAGAGCATCATTGCTCCCCACTGAAAGTGCAGCCCATCTCACCCTGCCACTGGTACTGGCTGAAGACGCAGCAGGCACTGGGAGACGTAGCCTGGCAAACTGTCCTTGTCCTCTCTTCTGGGCAATTATTCAGGAGGGAAACAAGAAACGGCCAGGCGCTAAGATTTTGCAAAAAGTAATCCATTCAAACATTACTTATGCAATTTTTCTAAGAGTAAGAGTAATAAGAAAATAGAACTTGCATCTTACAGTATACCGGGTGATTGTTGGTGGAGCCTGGTAAATCCCATCCAGACAGCAGGGGAGTTTTCCACATTGAGGTGAAATTCAGAAGAGTCATCGCCTAGATACCAAATTAAACTTATTAGAAGCAGAAAATATTGCAAATAACGCAGCCTTCACACATACCACCACCAAAGTCAGTAGTAATCATTGGTAGTTGCAGTTGGGAGACTGGAAAGACAACAGGAACTGTCAGGGTCCTGAAGGCACCTGCTGTGTAACTTGCTTGGTAACTACAGAGAACTTTACTATTAATACAATGCAAAACAACAACAACAACAACAACAAAACTTCTAAGATTCATGTTCTGTTTCCAATTCTACACATGTGCTTGTTTGTAAGTTAAGGTTGAAGGACCCAGCCAAGGCAGCTGGCGCAGCATTTTTTTTTTTTTTTTTTTTTTTTTTTAATAATCTTTGCGGGACAGAGCCCAAGTCTTCCCAGCAGTGTGGTAGTTTTCGCACCGCAGTTCCTAGTTCCTCACCCCAGGCTTCCGGACTGGAAGGACAGCTGGGGATAAAACGAGCCTGGTGAAGCCCAGGAGTCACTGGCCACTGAGACTCAGCTCGACTTTCCCTGTGCGCTGGGATCCTGCTGGAACCTCCGCGACAACATGAGCTCCGCAGCCGGGCCCTGCGCCTCCCACCCGGGGCTGCTGCTCCTGGGGTTGCTGCTCCTGCCAGCTCTGGTCGCCTTCGCCAGCGGTGAGAGCAGAAGCCAGGCTGTGAGGGCCGGCAGCGGCGAGGGGGGTCCGGGAAGCCCTGGGGCTGGGGAGGAGTCCTCTAGGCTGCTGATCGCGGCTACACTTAGCGCGCGCGTGCTGAGTGTGCGGGCACCGTGCCAGGCGCTGCACGTGCACCGCGCCACCTGCTCAGCACAACTTCTCTCCGAGGGAAGTACGATTTATGGCTAAGGAGAAGAAGGCTGGCGGTAGTGGAAAAGGTCCCTAAAGTACCTCTGGCCACTCATGGAGTCACCACTCCCTGCCCTCCTCCTCTTCCCCCCCTCCCCTCCCTTCCCCGCCCAGCTGACGCTGAGGAAGGAGATGGGGACCTGCAGTGCCTGTGTGTGAAGACCACCTCCCAGGTCCGTCCCAGGCACATCACCAGCCTGGAGGTGATCAAGGCCGGACCCCACTGCCCCAACGCCCAACTGATGTGAGTCCTTACACTGCATCAGTCAGTGACCCCTTCTGTGACTCCTCTGCCCATCCCACCCCTTCTAATCCCATCTGCAAACCCAAAGACTAAAAGGTCACTTCTCTTTTCCCTGCCAGAGCCACGCTGAAGAATGGGAGGAAAATTTGCTTGGACCTGCAAGCCCCACTGTACAAGAAAATAGTTAAGAAACTTTTGGAGAGTTAGCTGCCTAAGTGTGTGCATTTGCCTTATAACATACTTTTCCCCCTACTTTCAATGTAACTATGAAAGAACTTCTGATATTTGTATTATCCCTCTAGTTTTAAATAAACAAAATAAATCAAGTTGTTGTATAGTCAAAATACTTCTTAATAATAGTGCAAATATTGTGTTGACACACAATTTCATGGAAGAAAAAAATTCTGGTATTTTAAGTAAAAATTTCGAAGGAAGGTTTGAATACTGATTTTGCTTGGCGTTATGTGTTGGCTGATACATAGCATTTACATAATTGCAGTACTTTATAGTTGCATATTTACCTTGAATATTATTATCTTTGTCAATAAATATTAGTAGTACTTACATATTACTAGATGGCTTTTAAAAAATTTAATAAATAAATAAGACTCTGCTTTTATGCCCATGAATACCTTAACTGGAAAGATATTAAGATTCCGGAAATGAAGAGAGGTACGAGATGATGGTATTTTCATTCATTCCTCAGGAAGGCACTGCTCTACTTTGGGGAGAAAGGAAGTTGTCGCAGTGTTTATTAGTGACCTACGGCTTCTGTAACATGTTAACACAAACGAAGTGGTGTAAACATACAAATTTATTATCTTGCAATTCTGGGGAGTCACAAGTTCCAAGTGAGTTGAACATGCTAAACTCAAAATATGATCAGAGCTGTGTTTCTTCTGAAGGCTCTAGAAGAGAATCTATTTCCTTTCCTTTCTCAGCTTCTAGAGGCATCTACATTACTTGGCATGTGGACCTTCCATTGATTTTCAAACTGCATCACCCCAACCTCTACTTCCATTGTCACATCTCCCCTCTCTCCCCCGACTTTTCCACCTCTAACTCTGCCTACCTTTCATAAGGAGCCTTGTGAATACATTAGACCCACTTGGATAATCCAGAAACCATTTTCATTTCTAGATCTTTAATACATCTGTGAAGACTCTTTTTGCCATTTTGTGACATATTAATCATTTCCAGAGAAAAGGGCATGGGATCTCAAGGGTGACGGGCATTATTCACCCTACCACAATGGGCCAGAAGGCAGAATCTAGTTGAGGAATGAGAAAGCTGCAGACCCTTGCTCATGAGTCATGTAATTTTTTCCTAAGGTGACAATGTTTGTGTAGGCACAAGTTTAAAATCCTAAGAGAAAATAGAACATGGTACCATTCAGTCTCTTTGGTGGTGGTGGAAAGGGTGGTTTTCTAGGATGACAAACTAATTAAAATAAACACAATTTATAGATGGTTTGGAAATGCCAGAATATCATTGAAAATTTCCACACCCACATTGCAAGTTAGAGAGTATTATTCCCAATACAGAGATGAGGTGACAGTCTCTGGAAGGACACAATTTGTGAGAGGCCGAGCAGATAAGTCTGACTCCCAACTCCCTTTTCTTGCTTTCACATTGTGCTGCCTTTCACACAGGCAAGTGGCATGTCAGCTAATTCTGCAGACAGAAACTGTTCCATGAACTAGCTTTTGAAGGGGGAGTAAGAATTTGCCAGGGGGACAAAGGGAAGACTGGAACTGTCACTAGATGAATAATATGTAAAAAGACACCAGATAATTAGGTCATTTGCATGTTTGGACAACAGTTCATAGCTCTGCAGGGCTGGAATATTTATGGGGAGAGAGAGTGAAGCGTGGTCTCTCAACTAGTTTTCACTCACTTGGTGTTTGTCACCTATGGTACAACGTATGCACTGCTACCCATATTATTTTTCCGAAACACAGGTACAAATATTTCATTCCATGGCGTAGGTCATTCAAGGTCCAAAGCCCTGAGCATGGCACTCAACACTGTGCCACACTCACTTTCCCTCTGTGCCTCAGTTTCCTCATCTGTGAAACAAGGATATTATGAGTGCCTACTTCATGATGATCATGAGGACCAAAGTCAACCAATGTTGGAATGCTGGTGCCTCATAAATTACTGCTTCAGAATTACCTTGATCTAACAATACTGAGAACACTTTCGAGTTGCTACCTTTGTCAGCAAGGGCTTGGGAAGAGGGTTTTCCTCTTGGGTAAAGCTAAAGTCACACAGCAACTCCTTGTTGTTTCAACAATCGTGGAGTGATGAAGTTTAAATTTACTTAAACTCCCTGCAAGTTGTAGGCGGTCATCAGAAAATGTCCACAAACTAGACACTTATTGCATAGTCATGGGCTCTATCAATAAAAGAAAATCACCAAAGGATATTTTGTTCTTGGACTTTGTTATGCATTTTTGTAAATTTTTATTTTTTTCTTCTAAGGACTGTCATAAAAATAGTTTCTTCTGTAATGCATAAAACATTGAATGTTTAGTTGGTTTTAAATATATATCCATATTTTTCTCTTTATAAAAGACACTGCATGTTTATTACAAAGAGCAGAAAATATAGATGAAATAAAAAATATTTTTCATAACCTGTAATTTCACCACCCAATTTTTTTTGAAAATATTAGTCATTTGATACAAGTTGAACTGCTAACTTTCAATAAAGTACTTATTTGTATATACCATAAAGAAAACATTTAGTAATTTACTTAGTTATATTGTTATTAGTTACGGAGCATTCCTGTCCCAATTTTAAGAGTATGAAACCACATCCCAGGATAATATAAAATGTTTTCTTTGGCTGGAGAACAAATAGCTAACTCATGTAATATTGCATTCTCTTATACATATATGGTCCTGTGTATATTTATATTCACTGTATGTATGAATGTGTGCATATTTTTCTCCATCTTTACATACATATATACTCATGCACACACAAAACGAGTTTACAATACAATACTTATACCTGCTTTGTACTATGCATCCTGTTATTTTATTGCCTATCCTTTCCTATCCTTGCCTATCCTTGCCTATCCTATCCTATCCTACCATTTTCCACTTTTCAAAAGTGTTGGCCACAACTCTGTAAAATGATTTTATAGCCCACTAATGGATCATGACATGCAGTTTGAAAGCACAAATGTAGTTCATTGATTAAAATGTTAGGTTCTGATGGTCCATATTGGAGTCCACACTGCAAACAAGATGCATGAGGGAGTCAGTAAGAACAGGATGCTTAGGACCAATTGGATAGTTAAATCTCTTGGTCTGTAGTCTTCTTTCAACTTCAGTCTCCACACTGATCCTAGGGTTCGAGTCTCTGGAAAACCCACGAAAAATAGCTTCTGTGGTAAAGATGTCACACCAAACTGGACATTGTCTGGACTGCTGAGAGTCTAAGTTCTTTTCAGCTGGGGCTTCCATTTATATTCATTGCTCATCCACTTCAGACATGTACATTCTGGTTGGTTCCTAATGCAAACTTAAGAGAGGACTGAAAATACATTAATTTCTGGGAAGACATACAAAAAGCAAGCATGTTCACACTTACTGGACTTAAATAGCTGTTTTATACTTATTTTCTCTTCTCATACAGCTCTTTCCTCTGTTAGCCTGTAGATGCTGGTATTAGCCCCAGTGAGCTTGTAAGTTTGGGCTATATCTCAACTCTGATTCTGTGTGACCGCAAGTCTCTTCAGTTTTCTTATCTGCAAAATAAGGGCAATCATGTCCACTTCACAGGGCTCTTGAAAGGAGTAAATCACACTTATAATAGGACCCAGCATGGATTGTGACTCAGAGTTGGAACCTAGTAAGTAAATACGACTTTCATTCCCTTTCCTTGGAGTTTCACCCCCAGAGCATATAACATTTCCAAGAGTGACAACCACCATCTGTGAGCTACCAGGCAACCTATTGAGAACACAACCAACAAGAACTTCCCCTGTACAGAACCACAACTGAAAGCAGACAACAAATTAAGAAGATTTTAACATGATAGACCAAGGTGGTATTTTCCATTTACAGTAACAAAGAAAGGAAAATAAAATACCAAAACCACAATATTGAGGGTGGGGGAAGAGTCATGATGGCTGACTAAAACCACTTTATGCCTGCCTCCTCCACTTAGAAATACCAGAGTAGTATATAGACGGTGACAGTATCAGTACATTATTCAAGAGATGATGCTGGAATTCAGCAGAGAAGTAACAGAAGAATCTAAAAGCTGAGAGGAAGAAGGAGAAGAAGGAGCCTCCTTTCCCAGGATAGGCTGGGAGCTAGGAGTGACTTCTTAATGCAAGGAAGGAGCACATGACAGACTTCTAGCAGTACACATCCCCACTGTGGAATAGTATAATTACCACCATGAGAGAACCCTTTGGCTCTCCCAAATCATGAAGCTAACATAAAGAGTAGCCAGGAGACTGTGGGATGGAATTGCTCCAGAGAGGGAGGTCACACTAAGTTCCACATTCTTTCTGAGACCTAAGTGACTACAGAAACTTAGACTTCTGCCAACTGCATGCTACCCTGGGACCCAGCAGCACTGAGACAAGGGCATTATGGAAACTTGGGTTGTCACTGCTGGGACAGGAGAGCAAGTCAGGATCACTCCCATTGTCAGGGCTAGGAAGTGAGCTAGACCTGAGAGGCAGCAACTGGTGCCGGGAAGTGAGTGAGCTGAGGTGGGGTCAGGAGGTGAGTGAAAATTGCTGCTGGGACTTGGTTGCAAGCTGGGTGAGGGCTCTGGAAGCTAGGGTAAAGAGGCAAATCCCATAAGGACTAGGGTTTGAAGGGGTTGCATATTTCCCATCTACCAGCACAGGGATGTGACCAGAGGGATGCCTTACCCTCCTTAGTGGCAAGGCCTCAACCAAGCTGCTTCTATCCCTCACCCACACACTCTCCCTGGGACCTGAGGGTTACTTTGCTCTTGTCTCGCATGGCCGGTGCCTATTCTCACTATCAGGGTGCCTGAGTACCAGCTATCCAGCCTCACTGCACCCCCACCTCTTCGAGACAAAGCCTGTAGCCTGAGGTTCTGGAGACTGTCCAACCCAATCCACCCCCTTGGGAACTTAAGCACTTCTCCCAGGGGCCTGAGGTGTGGCCTGAACTCCTAGCTACCACCACCTTACCTGGCATCTACCTCTCAAATGGATATCCTTTGGACCTGGATAGTGATGCACTCAGCCCTCAGAAGCCACTGCCAACATCAACACACACTGCTTGGGACCCAGAGAATCTTCTTTCCAGTGCTGCTTTGAAAGCCC